TGTCTGCGTAGGACAGAGCCCTTCGCCATCTCATCTTCCTGGGCATTTGGCACACGCTGGCCGGCCTCATAGTTTGGGGGAGATCTTACTGGGGACCCAGAGACTCCCTCCCCTCCCTCTCCTCGTCACCGGCTTCCAAGCTGCTCTGTGGTCTGGCTGCTCCCGCTGGGCCCTGAGCTCTTGGAGGGTCAGTTTCGCATCTGAGTTGCTTGGTTCTCAGAGCAGGGCTTGCTCCGGGGTGGGGGACGTGGGGGTTGCAGGGCTGACCGGTGTCCTGCGGTGCCCTGGCGAGGGGACTCGGCTGGACAACTAGTCGAGGGCTGCTGGTACTGGACGTGTGGAACCCTGGGGAGCAAAATGATGGTGACTCACCGAGGAACGAGGTGGGCGGGAGAGAGTGGGCCGGGGCCCAGGCTCCCGCAGGGGAGAAGGGACCCTCATTCTCTGCAAATCTCTGCTTGATTCTTGGAAGTTCTCTTCAGGGCTCCTGGGTTTTTTCAGAACTTCCTAACCTCAGTGGACGAGACACTTAGTGAGCACCTACTGGGTGCTGGGCCCTCCGCCAGCTGCTTGTGCAGGTACCATGTCCGGTGACCAAAAGGCTCTGGGAGGGCGGTTTTAGCATCACATGTTTACAGACAAAACACCGAGGTCGGGAGAGGTCGCAGCTGCTCGCGAACCCGGCCGTGAGACCGGCCTGCGCGGTTTCTCTCGCTCGCTCGCTCGTTTGCTCACGCATCGTTTTATCCGTCGGCTCCTCACTCAGCTCAGACGCAGGACGAGGCTGTGTTGGGCGCTTTGATGAGAGAAGCCAGGGAGTCGTAGAGGTGCCTGACCCAACCTGGGGAGGTCGGGGGAGGCGTCCCCCAGGCCCTGAGCTGGAACCGGTGTGTCGGGCAGAGGGAACGGCGCGTGCGAAGGCTCAGAGGCGGCATCCGGGGGTGGCAGGGAAGCGGGAGTCGCGAGCTTGGCCTGAGCGGTGCGGGGGGCATCAGGGCCGGGCCGGGGCTTTACCTGAGGGCAGCAGGGTGCCCCCCGGGGGCAGTCAGTGTGTGGGAGGCAAGGCCTTGGTCAGAAGAGTGTTTCAGGACATCGGTCTGGAGGCTGGCGTGGCGCTGACCTTGGCGATGCAGCGGGAGGAGGCCGCGAGAGAGCCATGGGGCCTCTTCCTGGGTCTCAGCTGTCCACACGGTCGGCGTCTCGTAGCTCCTGCTGCTCGGCACCATGGGTCCTTTTCGAGAGCCCTGGCCTGACTGGACTCGTGGCACCTGAGAACCACCGTGTACATGCCTTTGAGGGAGAAACGGAAAGAGAAACCACGTCGTGAAAGAATGAGACTTTTGCAAAGTGAGCCCTGAACGGTGGAGGGAGGTTTTCAACCAGCATTTCTCCCCCGTCTCAGGCTGGGCTGACTGGGATCTTTGGGGGGTGAGGGGGACAGGCGCGAGGCTCACTTCATCCCCTTGTTACCCAGCGAGGAAGCGGAGGCACATGAGGGGCCGAGAGCCGCGACAGTGGACGAGACGCTGCTCCCTCTGCCTCTGTCCCCTTTCCCCAGGTCCGGGCGTGGCTGGCTCTTTCTCGGCATTTGCTTTGGCGGTGACTGTCACCTCTTCGGACTGGCCTTTCTCCGTCACCCAGCTTAAAGCAACGGCCTGTCTCTCCTCCATCACTTGTCCCTCTGTCGCGCTGTTCTGCCTTCTTCCAGGCACGTATCCTGATCTGAAAGCACCTTTTCGATTTACTTATGTTTTCTTTATTGCCCCTTCCCCGTCCCCTCCCCAGTTCCTTGAGGGCGGTGATCTGTTTGCTTTTTTACTGCTCTTTCTGGCCCCCGGAGCCGTGACGGCTCGCAGGGCCCAGGTGATACGTGCTGAAGAAGTAGACGCATTAATCAGTTCATTCCACTCGCCTCTGCTGGTTCCATTGCTTTCCCGTCCACTGGCACAGAGCGGGCGCCAGGTAGCCCAGCGGGGTGGGTGACTTGCTCAAGGCCACTCCGCTGGATGGAGCCGGGGTGGAAGCCCGGACCCCGGCCCCAGCGGGCCCCAGCACCCCTCCCGCTGCCTGCGTGCGCGTTGTTTCATGGGCCAGGTGCACACGCCTCCCAGCGAGAAGCTGTTTGTCGGGGCCGCTGCTCTCCCTCTGGATCGGCTACGTTCTCTGCACGGTGGCTGACGCTGCCGCAGCTCCATAAATATTAAACGGGTATTAAAGGAAGGCTCTGCATTCCCAGTTTCCCTGATTTCTCTGAGCAGGGCCCGTTGCGAACCCCCTTTATGTGAAATGCAGCATTTCACCGCCGAGGGCCTCTCGGGATGCCTTGCCGCCTGCTTCTCCTGGCTGCGTCTGCCGGCACAGAGCGGCTCTCCCCCAGCCGCCAGCCCACACAGGGCGCGCAGGCGCCTGCTGCCAGGGCCAGGGGTGGGTGGCAGCCCCTGGGACCCGCCTTCCACAGGGGCTGCGCCCAGCCTGGCCAGCCTCCTCGCAGGCTTGTGGGGTGGGGACTGGGGAGAGCGGCGATGACTGTTCAACCTTTAGCCGAGCCCTCTTGACTCCTGCCCTCTGCCAGGCCTGTGCTGGCACCAGGGACAGAGACTGGCAAGACACATACTCTGTCTGTCCCTCCCTCCATCCCCCATCCCTCCTTCCATCCCCCATCCCTCTTTCCATCCATTCACTGATTCAGTATTCATGGAGTATCTGAGAGGCTCTGGGTGACAATGATAATATAATCATGGTAATAGCTAACATTTATTGGGCACTTACTGTGTGCTGGGCTCCGTGATAAGCAGTTTACATGTGCCACCTCACTAATCTTCACGACTGTATGAGGTCGGTCCTAGGCTTCTCTCCATGTTGTGGATGAGGAGCCTCTGGCTGGTTAAGCCACTTGCTCAGGGTCCACAAGTCACGAGTCCTCATCAGGGGATTTCGAGCAGGGATGCGATGCGGTCAGCTCTCATAGAGAAAATTCTGGCTCTCTAGGGATCCCGGAGCTGTCCCCTTTGCTCACACCTGACACCCTTGTATGTACCACAGATGCCCCAGTCCCTGGGCAGCACCTGCTCACAGCAGGGCCCCGATACGCAGGTATCTGATGGAACCGAATAGCGATTCTAATAGTAACAGGGAATACGAGCTGGGCGCTTGGTATCTGCCGGGCGCCGTGCTCAGAATTCCCGTTTATTTAACCTGCACAGCTGCCTTGGAAGGTGGTGTTCTTATTTGTAAACCCATTTTCCAGAAGAGGAAACTGAGGCTCAGAGAGGGTAGGAAGTACACTGCTAGAGCTCAAACACCTGTTCAGGTCTGGGCCGTCGGAGCCCTGACCACGGAGTCTGCTGCTGAGGCCTCCCCCAGGGTTTAGAGACAGGGAGGCAGGTTTGTGGGTCCTGGCTCAGGACACCCGACCTGCCGTCTCAGAGGCTGGCTGCACCCCGTCCCCTGGGGATGCCCGTTCACTTAGAAGCAAGCGCGTCCTGCGGGGAGAAGCAGATATTTTTTGTCGTTGTTGTCTTCCCAATAGGAGATGTGGGGACTGTGTTAGGGGTCAGGATGTGTTTTCGGGGCTGGGTGGGCGAGGAGAAGGAGGCGGCTATTTATTGCACCTCGTATGGGCGCGATTGTCGCGATTTAAAAAAAAATTAATAATCCGTTTCTCCTTTGCACATAATTAAAATGTTCTCCAGCCTCTAATTTTTGTCATTTTCCTAATCCAATTTGTTTTCTGACTGGGCCGATTCTTCGTCCGTGCGCGGAGAGCAAAGGGGATTTTTCTTCATTTGGCGTGACAGGGATATGACGGTCCGGGGTAGTTTAAATTATGTTATTTTCTCCATGGTTAAATGCAGTGCAAACGGAACCATCGGAGAGTCTTAATGACCAGACACAGAAACAAAACAAAACAGATCGTCAAGCATTTCTTATTTGCTCAGTTTAAAGAAACGATTATGGAACAGAGTGACGAAAATAGATGGTTTTAGAAAGGACGCGTTGGCCGGCGTGGCCGGCGTGTGAGTGTGCCGGGCAGGATGGTGGCGTTGCCGGGATTTCACGTAGCTGAGTTGGAATCAGTCTAAGGGACGTTTCAGTCCGGTATCTACGAATGCGAACCCCACTTTCCAATGAAAGGAGGAAAGAAAAAAAGGTAGCATCACAAGCTGCGATTCTGAGTGGATTCGGGCTTTGACAGAGTTCCTGAGATCTTTGTGAGGCGTCGGGAAGGGTTTTTAAAGGTAGATCGCTGCCCCCCACTTCCTCTTCCACCCGGTCACCCCCTGAGCGGGGTTGGCGGTTGGCAGTCTGTCTGGGAAAATCCCTTCTCAGGGCGTTGCTCACGTATCTTCAGGTGAAACCGATGTCGAGGAAGGAATTTGCGTCCGCGCCGTCCCCACCTGCTTGGGCTCGCAGGGGCGGGGGTGTGGGGCCGTGTGCGAGGGGGTGTGTTTGGGGGTCTCAGGGGAGGGGATGGGGTTGGGGGGAGAATCCTTCCTATTCCCCAATTCCGAAAAGCGAAACTCACCTTGCCTCTTTGCAGAATATCAGCCAGTGTCCTGCCCCATCTCATGGTCACCCCGTGGGCTCAAGGAGGATTTTGTTGAAGGCAAAAAAATAAAAAAATAAAACGTCTAAGTGTTGAAACGTTTGGCCCAGGCATGCATCCGTCCTCAGCGCTGTGGGTTTTTTTGTTTATTTTTTTATTTTTTTTAATCCCCTCCCTCATTTTCCTTTTTCTTTTTACCAAAGTATATTCATCAAACTGCTGAGTTGGAAAGATCCGTAATGAGTTTTTGAGCCGTACGACTGTGTTTTCTCCCCTCTCCCCCCTCCTTCTCCCTCTTTCTAAATCTTCATCTGACATTAAATAAAGCAAATCCCAAACAGATTAACTGTCGCACGGTTCTGCTCCGTCTCCTCAGTCTGTTCGCAGGTCTGGCACAGGGCCGGGCGGCGGTGGCGGCGGTGGCGGGAGATGCCCGGGCGGCCAGCAGAGGTCCATGTGGCACGCTAGGTGGGATCCCGGTGTCCTGAAGGCAGAGGCCCTGGCCCTCCTGCCCTGTGGCCTGGGCATGGCGTTCTCTCAGACACACGTGATGGCCGCTCGGAGGCACCAGCACAGCCGGCTCATCATCGAGGTGGACGAGTACAGCTCCAACCCCACCCAGGCCTTCACCTTCTACAATATCAACCAGGGCCGCTTCCAGCCTCCGCACGTGCAGATGTAAGTGGCTGGCTCGTGGCGGGACCGGTGGGGACGCGAGGCGTGGGTGGGGACGGTGCCCGGGTGGGCTCACGGGCTGGGGCGCCTCCGGGCTTTTGGGCCCCACCGTTGCGTACTTGTCGACCGAACCGGTTCCGGAGGCCCGAGATCACCAGGGCTGCGAGTTGGCAGGGACGTGTGAGCAGCTGCAGAGCGATGGCCTGTGGGCTGATTCTGGCCCAGACTCTTGTTTCGTTGGGCCTGGAGAATGTTTTACAAATATTTAAAAATGAGGGGATCACACATAAAAATCCAGACTTCTGGCTTTGCTTTTCAAACCCAAAAGTTCTGGCAGCCCCAGGCCTACACATCCTGGTGACACCCTTGGGGGCTGAGTTCTAGCTGCCCCCGCTTGGTGTTTGGGTTGGAGACCCCTTGTCTAATTCACGTTCTTCATGGTACGGATGGGGAGACTGAGGCCCAAAGCGGGGAAGGGACTTGCCACAGGCCCTAGGGCAGATTGGGACCCTGGTCTAGGGCTGGGTGTCCGGCCTTCGCTCCACCCCTCTCTTTTGTCCAGTGGCCTCCCCGGCTCCCTGGTACTTCTGTTGAAAAAGCAGAGATGCTTCCCAAAAGGAATGGGGGGCTCTGGCGCGTGTACTTCGGGGCTGGTGGAAGGTACTGGGATGCCCCGGTGGCGAGGCTGTGACAAGAGCTTGGTCCCGGGCTTGGTCCCCGTGCGCCTGGGGGAACCTTTCCTCTCCCTGGATCCCCTCTGGGGTCAGGGGAGGTGCCGGGGGCCCAGGGTGGAGGTGGATGAATCCTGGCCCCGCCCTGGTGGCTCCCAGCGTTCCTGGAAGACCCTCCTCCTTCATCCCTGCGCTGCAGGCTCGCCTGGTGGGGAGACGGAGGCCCAGACAAGTGAGGCGGCCCAGACGCGTGCCCGAGCTGGCCCGGAGCTCAGGCTGCCCAGCCCGGCCTGGGGCTCTCGCTCCACAGTCAGCTCCCTTCACTGTGGTGTCTGTGGATGAACGTGCCTCTGCCCGAGAGTTCAGACATTTGTTTGCTCTGTCACGGGAACTTCTCTCGGTCCCTTTGGGATGTCTCTGTGCTGGGTCTGGGCCGCTGATGAGCCCCTGAGGAGGAGGAGATGGACGGCCCCCCAGTGACAGCACAGGGAGGTCAGAGGTGTGATGGGGGTGCCGCGGTGTCTGGAGCAGCCCCGACTTCCTGTGACAGCACAGGCCCTACTTCCTCCAGGGCCACGAGCACCATTTCTAGGGAGCAGTGGCAGGCGGGGTCCTAGCGGCTGTCTCTTTGGGGAGATGAGAATCCAGCACCTGGACCACTTAGAGAAGCAGCTGTGAGGGTTTCCGGCCTGGGCATGGGTGGGCGGGGTGCTGCCTCTCATTACCGTACGGTTCTTTTGGGACCCATCCCTTGTTGTACCCTCGGGACCCATCCTCTGTTGCAGAGGGTGGCACAGGGGCACTATGCATGGGAGAATGGGCTCTGGAAGGTGAGTGGGCACCGGGCGTGGACACCCCCTCTTCCTGTCGCACTTGCCCTGGAAAATGCCCGTTTCTGTGGGGGCTGTGGGGCTGGCATCATCAGGAGCTGCCTACTTTATTTTCTGGAAGGTTTCTACTTGGGAAGCTGCCTCCAGTCTCCATTTTGGGGCCACAGTGGTGGACTCTGGAAGGACACAAGGCCCTGGGGTGCAGGCATGCTGCTCCTTAGCCTCCGGGGGCTGGAGGCCCGGCAGGGCTGCCGTGGGGGTGGTGGGATGCCCTCCCAGGCCAGGCTTTCTCTTCTGTTGGTGGGGTTAGCCCTCCGGGCCTGACAGTGACCATGCCTGAGGTCCCCAGATGCCGGGCTGGACTCCTGCCCCAGAAGGAATAAGCGAGAGCCCCAGGCCCTCAGGCAGAGAGCAGTGGGGTCTGTGTGGATGGATGGATGGATGCATGGATGGATGGACGGACGGATGGATGGACCCACGCGCAGGTCCATACAGAGGGTCCCCGGACACAGTGCATAATGCCATAATACCATGTACTATCACACAAAGCCGTCGTTTACGATGCCCCGCCTGGGCCTGGCAGACACCGCGGCCGCTCCGGTCCCAGAGCAGAGCTAGGGAAACCAGAAGTCACAGGACAGGAGGGCCAAGGGGCTGAGGAAGGACCCTCTAGCTTCTAGGTTGAGACCCAGAGGATGAGTGGGGGACAGCAAGTTGGGAGAGGGTTGGGAGAAGGGGGCATCTGAGGACAGCAGAAACACCCAGCTGGACAGAGGGCGCCTTGAACAGGAGCCACACGGGCTGTGTCCTGAGCAAGGGCAGTGAGTGACCAAATGGAAGAGGGTGATTTCTCTCATTTAACCCATGAGCAACTGCAGGTTGTTCATCCATCCATCCATGCATCCATGCATCCATCCGTCCGTCCGTCCGTCCGTCCATCCATCCATCCATCCATGCATCCATGCATCCATGCATCCATGCATCCATCCATCCATCCATTCATCCACCCATCCATCCATCCATCCATCCATCCATCCATCCATCCATCCATCCATCCGTCCGTCCATCCATCCATGCGTCTGTCCATCCATCCATCCGTCCGTCCATCCATCCATGCGCCCATCCCTCCATCTATGAAGGCATGCATACATTCACCCA